TTTCATCACCATAGGCTCTTGCTCATATGTTGCTTTTCATGAAATTCTTCTGTGTCTTCCAATTCTTTTCGATACAGTGACTCAGTATATTCCTTCCATCTTCTTTTAATACTTCAGGGATCATTTAATGTTCGGCCGAAAGCATCCTTGATTATAGCAACTCGAGGTTTGAATTTGTTCTTCAGTTCCTTCTGAGGGAGTTCGGCCCTTTTGATTTTCCGACTCCAACTCCTTGCACATTTCATTGTAATATTTTGCTTTGTCATCCCGTGCTGCCTTTTGAAATCTTCTATTCAACTCTTTAGTATCTTGAATTCTTCCCTGTGCTTTGGCTTCTCTGCGCTCCAGTGCAATTTTCAGAGTCTCTTCTGACATCCATTTTGGTCTTTTCTTCTTCTCCTGTCTTTGCAATGACCGTTTGCACTCTTCCTGGATGATACTCTTGATATCCTCCCACAACATTGTACCTGCACTATTATATGGCAAAAACCAGTCATTTGCAGAGAAAGATGAGGCAATCTGATCCTATAAAGATTATTGCCTCAGAAATTTATGGGGCAGTTCTACCCTGTCCTGTAAGGTCAATATGAGTTGAAATTAAGTTCTTAGTTTTGGTTCCCTGTTTTTCGGGGGGGGGGGGGGGCAGGGTGGAGTACCAAAATATCTAACCCACTGGTGCCAAGTTGAGCCCAACTCATAGCAACTCAATTTCTGAGGCTATATATTTTTGCAAGAGGAGACAGACGAACTCCTCTGAAGCAGGAGATAGGTTTGAGAAGCTGACTTTTCAGTTAGTAGCTCATTTCATGAACCATGCCATTAGAGCAGGGAGGTAGGGAAAGAGAGCAGAAGTAAGTATTTGGTGTTCCTGAGTCATTTAAATGGTTATGAACTCAGAACTTAATTACTAACTCAAAAGTTAAAACCCACCCAGAGGCCTCTCAAAAGAAAGGCCTGGTGATCTACTCTGCACACTACTCTGTTGCCATAAGTTGGAATAAACTGAAGGCAACTAGTTTCTATTGTTTTGTTGTCGTGTGTCATTAGAACCAACCCATAGCTGATTCTCCACCAAGTTTTCAGAGGCAGTTTAATCGCACAGGAGTATGTTGTTTTATGCATTTATTTATATGGGACTTTGCTATTTATGTGGACAACTGTTCTCCAATTCATAATAGGATCAATAAGTCCTAATGTCCTAGCATCAAATATCACTTGGCACGTATCATTATGTTCCCACTACTGGGTTTTTTAAAAACTATTCAAAGACTAAAGAAATGTCATACTTGCTGGATAAGACCTGACAGTGCAGATTTTTAAAAAGCATATACAATGATACACCATCCGCATAAATGTGATAAAACGAAGCATGCAAGAAACCAATTTACCTTAATCTGGGTCTGTTCAACTGATTTTTCCCATATCTGCTGATCATATGCGCCAATCTGAAATAGAGAGCAGGCAATTTAAACGATGCAAAGGAAAGCCCCATCTTTAACTCACACATCATAAAAGCTTAGAAACTATTAAATATCAGGATAATATCTGAAACTGATAGTGCTTCTCAGAATAAATATTTCCAAAAACTGTTTCCTTCAAAACTCTAAAGTAGGTGGCTATAAAAGTACTTACACCCAAAACATTTCCGTTAATATTACCTTAAAAAATATTTCCACTTCTTAAGGAAAACTTCAATAGGGAAACTAAAGAGGAATACAAAGGCAATAACAGTTCAATAAGATTGACAGTCCCAATCTGAGCTGTGCTGACAAAGGCTTCCTGTCCTTAAACTTGCAGAATATTGTCCTGGTCGTTATAGATGGAGGCTGCAGGACAGGCTTGAAAATCCTATTCTGGGGCCTGGAACTGGGTTTAAAGACATATTGACCTTGTCCTTGGTTTTCTATTTACTATATTTATGCGGAGGTGGAGAAATATAATATCTGACACTTTCAAACTCAGAAGAAACTAGCGTGACGTTCTTTGAGAAAGCGTTTTTGCACATACTATGGTTTAACATTTTTAAAAAGAAAAAAGATTTACCTTCTTTTGGTACCACGATATAGCATCTCTCTCGTTTGAGGCCATCTGTAACTGCAGCCGGAGAAGGAAATGTCACTGAAAAGAAAGGACAACCAGTTGGTGAGTCCGGTTGTTGAGGGGTTCTCCCAGTTTGGGTACAACTGGAAAAGCGCTGTTCCCGGTCTCTCCATGAGATGCTGTCTGTCTGTGTGGATGTCTGCCACCACCACAAACAAAAAACCTGGCGCAGTGGTGACCGGAGGAACCTCGGTGCGAATGTCTCCGGGGAAGAGGTCGCAGTTGACTTCAGGCCCCTCTTTCCCTCCCGAGAGCCCGGGTCTCACCTGGTGGCCGCAGTCCCACAGTCCGGTGACCCGGGCCTCCCTCCTCAGTGGCCCCGGTCCCGCCGAGGGACGGAAGGCGAGGCGGCCGGCCCGACAGGCGGCATCTTCCCCCTGAGGCGGAGACGCCAGCAGCGGGGCCGTTACCATGGAGACGCCGGAGGCCGCCTAGGGAGAAGGCGGCCGCCCCGTGCCCAGAGGAGGGCAGTCTTTGGCCACAGAAATCGTGCCCTCCAACTCGACTTTGTCAGGGTCACTGAACGGACTACAAAACAAGACAAAGAACAAATTAGGCAAAAAGGGAAATAGTGGAAGAGGTCGTAGCTAGGCCGTCAGGCGAAACTGCAAAAGGCTTTGTACCTAAAAAGGCAGGTGCAAACGGCCCATGGCCGGGGAGGTAACTGCTCCTGGTGCGGCGGGAAGGGAGCGCCCGTCCTTTAGGGAGGGGCCAGGCTGTGACTCAACGGGCCCTGCGGCGGGTCGGGCCCAGCCGACCACCGTGCAGCCCCGCCGCGGCTTCCGCTTTCCGGGTTTGGCTGCGGAGGTGGCTCCGCCCCCTGCCCGGGCCTTACGGTTAAACCTGCGTCCATGCTGAGACGAGCCCCGGGGGCCACCGGCGATCGGGGCCCAGCACACCTACATCGCTCTGCAGTTCTCGACCTCCTCTCGAGGAGTCAGTCCTGAAATTCTGTTAATTTCTTTTGTGTTTCATTATCAGTTGGCCGTGGGCTGTGGGCTCCGTGAGTCTAGAGAATGAGATCTAAAGTGTCACTACTTTTACCAAATGAATGTATGAATTCACTGTCCTGAGATGAAAGTCCTGGGGGCTGCAGACTTAAAGGCTGTCTGAATGCTCAGGGCTAAGGAAGTCGCAAATCCTGAGGGAGTAACAGGAACCTTTTCCTAAATATGAGCGGAAGGTGGCAGCGGGAAAAACTTTCTAGGTTATGTATCCAGGCAAGCTCGTAAGTCAGGAAGAAGGCCTATTTAAAATAACTTAGTAAATTTTTTATGCCACTTTTATGCTCTCTCGAGTTAACTCCCTTTCTTTATTAAGCACTTGACGCCTAGTGGTCATTTCCCTCACCTCACTTGAAGCAGTATTGCCTGGTAAATCTAAAGACAGATAAACCTTATTGAGAGGCACCAGTTGAGAAGCCATAAAGGCGTGAGTAAACTGTCTTACAATCTACAAAATCGACATATGGTCAAAGTGAATATTTTAGCAAGAAGAAAAGCCTATTAAGATAAAACTAACTCTCATTGGGCTTTTTCCCCATGTCACAATTTTACCCACTCATTTTTTATATTGCACACTTTCACAATGTTCCTTCTGCTTTTACTTCTTGACATCGTTTCCCATTCTTAGAACTATTTAGTCTTGTTGGGGTTAAATGAACAAATTTAGAAAATGAATGAGGGGAAACACAGCCATCCTTAAATGAAAATGTGTATTTGCATACCTAAATATTTGCTTAAAGATCTAAAATTACATTAACAAAAATACTTTGTTGTTAAATATTTTGTTTCAAAAGAAACTTTGAAGGGAAGGAATGAAGGAACAGAAGTAGTTAAAAGTTGTAAGCCCTCTTCTCAGGATCCCTTTAAAAACTTTATTACTAGGTTGCCAGTGAAACAAAGAATGGAGTTTAAACTTAGAACTGCTCCCACCAATTAGCTTGACCATGGCACATGATTCAGCCAACCAAACCTGTTTTCTCACCTATGTTAGAGGTAAATTACCTGTCTAATGAAGCTTTAAGGAAATCTGCCTTCATTTAAAGTGCCTTGCCTGCCGTAATTACACAATGGTAGTTTCCTCCCTTTTACTTTGCCAATCAGAACTCAAGAATTGTCACTGTTAGTGCATGTACCTTAAAGAGAAGTTCATGTGAACAAAAACAGAGGAAACCCCATTATGTGTCTCAATGATATTACAATATAGGTGCCATTTGTATTACATGTCTTTCCAGAGATATCCCTAGCCAAAAAACCTGTTCTCTCATAAGCAGCATGTAAGCCAATTTAAGTAGCAGCAGCATACATAACTGCCATAAATGCCAAATAAAATTTTTCTTTTCTCAAACTTGCATCTCAGTATTGATGGAATTTTACCCTTTTAACATCTGTGCCCTTTTCTTCAGGTAAGAAAAATCAAGAGTTTTCAAAAATATTAGGGACAGGGGAGCTCTGGTGGCCTAGTGGCAAGAAGCTGCAACTACAATCCCAGAGGTGCACGGTTCGAATCCAACAGATGCTCTGCCGGGGAAGGAGGGGCAATCTCCTCCTGTACCAGTCAGATCTGATTTGACAGTACATGCACACAAAAATAATTTTTAAAAAAATATTAGGGACTATAGAGGGAATAAGGACCTATAGTGCAGTGGTTAAGTGTGTGCCTGCTAACTATAACATCAGAGGTTTGAACTCACTAGCCAGGAGAAAAAAAATGGATGTCCACTCCCTCTTGTAAAAATTACAAACCCTACTGGGCGGCTCTACTCTGTCCTAAGGGTCACTGTGAGTTGGAATTGACTTGAAGCATAGAACACTGAAGGGAATAAATAAACCTCTAAAACAGGTTCTGGATAATTAGAATTCATATTATATGTATATTCATGTGTGATGAAACATCAGTAAAGGACAAATCAGACTTTGTTTATTAAAAAAATACTTTACAGGGAAAAAAAACCTCTATGCATTCCATTGTCCTATTTTACAAAGAAATAGCTTAACAATTTAAACACACTTAGACAGCTACAAAAAAAGCACTGTGTTAAAAGGATTATTATTCACACAAATTGAGATTTAAGACTATTCATTAAAAACTTTTTTAAAACACGTGTTAATGTCAATAAACAAACTAAGGCCACACAACGCAAATAGTCCACCAGGCAAATTATACATTTCATCTATATGCAAAGACCTCTTAGATAAATTAAAGCCACAGGAAAAAAGTCTTAGCTGCCAATCAAAATGGAGTTTAGTCACAGAAAACACTATTACATGAAAATTTACAACATGTGATAGAAGTATACATAAGTATTTCTTTAGAGAGAATTGAAAGTGCGATATTAAGAGATGGTGGTCTCTTCAACTACATGCACAAGTGGATCCTAAAAAACGTATGAAGCAAATGGAAGGCCATAATATTCATGGAGAGATACTTGCTTTAAAGCAACAAACTTGCAGGTTTGAGGATATGTCCCTTAGGTGTTAAAGAAAAAAATGTATCTTGTGCATTCCTCTACCTACTGCATGACCAATAAATAGGTACAATTTGTTTTAAAAAGATCAAAACCTAGCAAAAATGTGAACTCCTGACATGTGCTAGTGAAAAGGGTTTTTTTGGTAATCTTTATAAAATAGACAAGACTCAATTATCCTAAAGGTATAAATGTAAATTAAACTTTTAATGGTAAATATAGATGAAAATATTATGAGTTACTATTAATGATTAAGAACATATTCAGCAAGGGCTTTCTTGGATTTTAGAGTCATGTTCCTATATTAGCTTGCATTATAGATAAGAGTATTTATAGAGGGAAAGGAAATAAGTCTTCCCAGGGATTAAGTGTGAACTTTATGCCTATTAAAAATGAGGCAAGATATCTTTTCCTATGGTTTAGTAAAGAACAGTATTTAGTAAGCTCCATTTTGGCCCCTGTAAGTGTCTGTTAATCAACTGATGTTCCAACTATATTTAAAGGAAAACAGCACTCAAAAGGTTTTTTTTCATTTAAAAAAGCAAAGCATCACTTAAGTTCTAAGTCTTGAATAAGCAAATTAAAAGTATAATCACATCTAGGAGTTCATATTTAAAAAGTTAAAAACTTTGGAGGAGGAACTAATACAATAGGGTTTTATTATTATTGCTTTATGAATTTGGGATACCTCATGAGTTAGAATCTTAACAGCCTATCTTGGTAATCACAGAATGACTTCTAGGGTGGGGGAAGACTTTTTAAATAGATACCATAAAATCATCATAGTTGTTAACTAAGTTAGGAATTCTCATTTACTGGGTCCTTTCCATAAGCACATTTTAAAAACATCCCTCAGCTCCACAAAATACTAAAAATTATAGCCACATTCTGCAAGTAATCTCAAAGAGTTGGCACAACAGATGATATTACCAAAAGGAAGATCAGCTTAAATTTCAGTTACAACTGCACTGCCATCACTACTTTACAAATCAGAAGATGCCAAATTGCTCCATGCCTCACTCCACCAAACCAAGTAATTTAATGATTTAGAAAAATTGCAATCATTGTATCACTAAACTAGGATACATCTTTGAAAGCAGTACAAAACTCAAAATTGCCACTTTTATATTAATCAGTCTTTAAAGCATGCTATTAAAATCTAATACTCACATGGACATTCAGATTTTTCAGATACATTACTAGCTAAATGTTTCTCTCTCCATTCTATTGCAATTCTAACATACAATGAATTTATTAGTACATGATTTTAAACATTTTTATACTCCTTTAATGTGTTTATATTGGAGGTGAGGGTAAATGCTTTCTAAGAGGAAAATAGGGATTAGCATTTGATTGTAAGGTCTTTGCAGATCCGCTGGTTCCTGAGTGATAATACACAGTGCTGGCTGTCAGGAAACAGTCTCCTTGTTTATTAGCAATGACCAGCTTAGATGACAGATGGCATCTGCTGGATGGCAAGTGGGAGATGGGGGAATTGGGTCTTGGAAGACAATAAAAAATAAAAAGAGTTTTTGCTTTAACAACCTTGCTCTTCATGATTATTTTAAAAAGCAAATGTTGCCTGAGAAGAATTTTACTTTGTACAGCCTGGTAAAGCTCTATGAAATTCTTCTGGACAGAAAAACAAAACCAAAAAATAACCCAAACCACACACGTTGTGATAAATCCCTTCTCCCAAAAAATAAAAACAAAACACCCTCAAAGGCAGGTTCCCTTAAAAACTAGTCTTGATAAACTAGAATTTACCCTAGAATTTGTACCCAAGATTTAAAAACACCCCTGCAATAATCACATTATCTTTCATACCATTCTAATTACCTTATTTACAAAGATAACTAAAACCAACATCACTTCCAATTCATAAATGGTTTACATCGAAATGTTTCTCTATTTGTCTTCATCCTTTGTAACAAAGAATACATACATATACATATATATATGGAATAATACAGATTCTAACTAATCACTGCAGTATTTGCTGATGGTTACTTTTCTATTGGTTTACACAGTGACCTCTATACTTTTCTAATATGCATTTAACTACACAACAATATTGCACAAAGTAATATTTATATAAGATTTAACCTATTTCAGAATCTTTTAGAGAAAAATTCATATTTGATAGTTCAAAAGATGCAGCTAATTTTTCATGGTGGCAGACATAATAAAGCAGCATCTTCTCTTTTCTTTGCCTATGTTAATGTAAAAATGTTCCTAATCTCATCCTCCAGGAAAAAAAACAAAACTTCAAATTGCACTATAACCAGGTAGATAACAAGAATCTGGTCTTAGGTGTGGGGAATACTCTTCCTTTAATAAATCAAAGGCCTATTGTGTCAACTAAGAGAAAGTGAAATATGTATCACTGACATTCTAAAATAATAGAAAGTTAAGACCACACTAGCTTTAAGCAGTGCCTTAAAAAATAATTAGTACTCAGGCACAAGCATTAGACTACCTGAAACTCTAGGATCAAGTCTAGTGCCATAATCCTTGTTAGAGAGTAGCAAGTTGTAAATAAAACCCAGGTATTTACCTGTTAAAATTATAAGTGTATCAACAGTGAATTTTTCTTTGAAGAGCATGATGCCAGATAACAAGAATGGTGTTTCCAAAGTTTGGTGCTGAGAATATGGCAACCTCATGAAATACTGTTATTGTTAAGCTTGATTGATACTCATGAGCGTTTAGGAAGCTAAAGGATCCACACAGTATGTGAGGATGCTAGGAAGCAGAACAATAGAGTATCATGTCAGCATTATCTCTTTTACTCAAAATATGTTCTACTGTTACCATATTATTCCAGAAGAGATTAATGAACCACAAATAATGAATGACTGAGGACTATTCATCTTTAGATTTTTTTTAATTGAAATATCCACTGGGTTTCAAATAACAGATAAAAAAAAAGGAAAAAAAAGACGTTTGGATCAGAAAGTGCTGTGCTTTCTCTTTTGTTAAAAAACTGTAGAGTCACTGATTTTCCTTAGAAACTTGCTCTTTGTGGTTGTTTCAAATGAATTATGTACTTGCCCATGTAAAAGATGCAGAACTCCTTCCTGCATCCTATACCATTTTCACTGAAGAAACTGAACATGTGTCAAAAGACACAATACTAACTCAAAAATCTCATCTTCTATCAAAAAAAACAGCAAATATGGCATGAGACAGGGCAAGATAAAACTTGAGGGAAGTAAATAATTTACCAAATAAGAATCTGTTATTCCAGAGAATTCTCATTTTGATTTGAAGAAGAGATTGAATTGTTACCTCACACCTTAAAACACAAAGTAGCAGCAGACCCACTATTACATACTGTACTAACGGGATAAGATACAACTCTTTAACTTTGCATAATCTGTGTAAAAAAGATATGCTTGACATTTGTGGAATGTCATTTCTCTTTATAGAATTATAGGCAAGATTTCTCCAATAAAACTTAACTTAAGCCAGTTATAAAACTATAACTTCACATCAAAATTTAAAAAAGTTAAAAAATGTGTCTGAATATATACATATCACACAGGAGTGTTTGAATGTTCCTGCAGATTATGCTGCTGGTCAGATTCCAGTCTACTTTCCACTTTCAAAACTGGAACAGGCTGAGCAATCTGATCTTGGGGCAGTTTAAGTTCTGATGAAGAAGGGCAGGACGATGAAGTTGTCAAAAGCTGCATGTCTGTGCACGCTTCTTCAGATTCCGTTTTTATCCTTATATACTGGGAGTCAACATCTAATTCTCGCTTTCCAGTTAAACTACAGTCCATGTTAGAAGTGCCTTCTGTGTTTTGGGTGCTTTCCACAACAGGGTGGTACTGCTTAAGCCTTATATGCCAGGCTAAACTGCACACTGCTGACACTGTTTTGAACTGATGAATGACATTTCTAGGGATGAAGTAGATATCATTGTCGCACAACTGAATTCTAGCATAACGAATGCCTTCGCGCCTCATTTGGTTTAGTTTTGCTTCATCCACCCACTGTACACACTGAAGAGAGGAAAAAAAAGATACATGGTGCTTAAAATAAATACACTGTTATTTAATTAAGTAAAATAATTAGCACAGGAAAATAATGGGGCCAAATGTATATTACAACAATAATGAAAATATAGTTAAGCAATACCAAATAGAATGCCAAAACCCACTGCCATTCAGCAAAGTCTGACTCATAGTGACCCTCCATCAGGTTTCCAAGACCGTAAGTCTTAATGGGAAGACACCACCCATCTTTCTCTAGCAGAGCAGCTGGTAACCTTGAACAGTCAACCTACTGGTTAGCAGAACAACATGCTACACACTATGCCACCACAGCTGCTTAAATGGAACACAAATTATAAGAATATGTATTTTCTGTGATGCTTAGGAAACATTTTCTCTCATATTTTATACTCTAATGAATAATAAAATAGGAAGAAATTTGCTGGCACAGTGATTAAGAGTGCATGGCTGCTAACCAAAAAAATCCTTTTTGTTTTTTAACCCACCAGCCACCACACAAGAGAAAAAATGTTTGCTTCCATAATGATTTACAATCTACTCCAGAGGATTGCTCTAAGTGGGAATCTACTCCATGACACACAATAAGAAATAACAAAATAAGATTAGCCTTTTCTGTAGTAAACTATTTTTCAGTTTTGAGTTTTACTGTTGTTATCATGTGTTTACAGGAATGGAAGGCATGCTGAAATCCAGGGGAAATTTTAGGGAGGAGTAGTATGAACTTTGATAGTTATATATGTATGTTCTAAATGGACTCAGGTGGCAAGATTCTGGCGGCCCATTTTTCAGATTCACCTGATTATAAAGGTCTCCACCAGGAGTAACATATACCACAACTAGGAGAGCAGTTTTCTAAGAAACCAGGAGAGCAGTTTTCTAAGAAACCAGAGAGGATGAAAATGTTTCTAAGGAATATATGTCCCACAGATCGCAAAAGAGTCAAGGTGGCTCATGAGATGGGTCAACTAAACATGTATTTCAAAGCACAGCTAATAGCAATATTCTTCTCTATACACTGTTGTGTGTTGTGGAGTTGGAAATGACTCAAAGCTGACCCTCCCGCAAGTTTTCAGAGGCAGTGTATCACAGAGGAGATTGCCCCTCTTTTTCCTGTGAGGTAGCTGGTAGATTCAAACTGCATACCTTTGCACTGGCAGAGCAATTCTTTACCACTAAGTCATCAGAGCTCCCCTTGCTATGTGTAGAAGGCATTTTATCTTTTCCTTCAGTACTCTTTGACCTTTTGTAGGCAAAGGTAAACAGTACACCTATCCATCATCAGAACTGACTAATCTCGGTCTTGTAATCATCCTAGGCCAATATGCCATCCCAAAGACTAAAGGGACCTCAAAAGCATTCTGCTTCGCATTCTCTGCTTTAAATGATTTTCAGTATCCTTCCCTCCCTAACCTCTCCACTAACCTATGTGTCCAAATATAAGAGAAACAGCAAAATAAATTTAGGACAGCTATTTCTTTCCAAGAACTCATTAAACTAGTCATTAAAAAGTTAAGCATTATTACCTGGGAAACTGGAGGTTCATGAAGGTCTAACTGAAGTCTCTGTACAACATCAGTAAAATCCTCAGCATGAAAACAAATCACGTCTTTGGTTATGCGAGGTTGATCACTCCTAAGATTAACAAAATTAAGGTTTTAGAACAAGCATCTCAGAATGAAAAATGATGAAAACAGTCTTCCTGATTCTAGAATTGATACATCTAGCACTGGATCAGATGCATAGCAACTAAACACTGAGTATATGTTTACTTTCTTAATCAACTTTTTAAAAAAGCCAAAGCCCAAAGAGAACAAAGGTGACAAGAAAAAAACACCAAAAACAAAAACACGTGAAAATCAGATTAGTTGTAGCAAAATTGAAAATGGCAAAAAACAAATACTTCTATTCTGAATTGGGTGTATTTGTAGTACTCCCACAACTCTGCACCACCATCTTCACAGTACCAATAAAGGCGGCAGTGGAGAGAACAGGTCTCACCCAAATTATCATTACTACACTTTCTAGTTTAAAAAAGAAAAAAAAATTGGAATAATCTTTAAATTGAAACAATCACTGTCAAGCCATGACTTAATTTTACTTTTAAAAAAGTAATACAGAATACATACAATAACCATATACACTCCATCTATAAATGTTACATATATGTGTATGTCTATATATGTACATATGCACATATATACACAGACACAGAGAAGGGAGAGAAAAGCGAATGCTCCATAGAACCTAAATATGAAAAACAAGCAAAATACACTTTTTAAGTACATTAACCTCTACATTTTAAACTATATTATATCCTAAGTTTTTTAAAGGTATCTACATTTTCTTAGATAATGTTAGCTAATGTTGCAATTAAAGTTGGTGAACTTACCATTCACCAAACTGGACAGCTTTCAAAACCCCAACAGCAGCCGTACTCTGCCAGTCAAACCCCTGACCTACATGATCAGCATGAGCTCTTGTCCTATCTTCAAAGAGAACTTCACGGGGTTCACTGGTCCGAGGTAGGTACTGGAGATTTTTTATTTCATTCATTGATCTAGAGTTCATGGCATTGTGAAAGGAAAGGAAAAGAAAGACAATTCTTTTAAAAAATATTTTTTAAAATTCAGTGGGTTTGATTACTGCCATTTAACACACTAGACTGTAAATCTTAATGTGAATATGAGGACCATTCTCTCACTGTAGGCCATTAAGTAAAAACTACATTTTTTTTATAAGTTGCTGTTGTTATTGTTGATTGTCTTCAAGTTGAACACAACTCATATTGACTGTATGAACTAAAGGCCTTAAGCCTCTCTACAATTATCGACATTTATCAAAGTTCATAGAGTTTCCAGAGGCATGTTGTTTAGGAAGTAGATGCCACTCCTGCTTCCAATTTTTTTATAAGACTCAACTGTAATGTTTGAATCTGTAAAATTTAGTTGTCTAGCAAAAGAAATACAAGTCAAACTTTAAGACCGTCAACTTCTTGTTCAACACGACAAATTAAGTACCTATATGATTTTCTCTTCCATACTAAAATGAAAGTAAAAGTTTTCAAACTAACATGGGAGTATTGAGAAGTAGTTATGAGGTGATGGATGGAGGTACAGATAAAACAAAATTAATCATAAGCTGACAACTTCATATTGGGTGATGAGTACCAAGGAGATTATCATGTAATTCTATGTACTGCCACCTGCTATTGGAGTCACAGGCCTGGCAGCAGAGAGCGCCAGTACAAGGGTACTCTGTAAGCCTGGTTGTTTTTATTGTTTGCTCTTGAGGGTACAATAATTATCAGACAGCTTCGTGTATTGGGAGAGTAATCTGCATGTTGCTACTTATTTTATAGCTTAAATAGGCATGTGCTTGCTCATTGATGTACTCAGTTGTCTCTCAGTTTGCTACAAGGAAGTGACCTTCAGGTTGCTGTAAGCTGGAAGTTATGCCACTGATATTTCAAATACCAGCAGGGTTACCCACGGTAAACAGGTCTCTGCAGAGCTGCCAAATCCAGACAGACTTAAGCAGCGGAACTGGTCATACCTTTCTGAAACAACAGGTCTTGAACATCCTATGAATGTTATTGTTTTTGTTGTCGTGTTACATACAATCAAGTCAGAATCGACTCATAAGTGACCCTGCAGTAGGGGTTTTTTTTTGTTTGTTTTTTGGTGTTTTTTAAAATTAATTTCAATGAACATCTACAGAGATTTTGGACTTCCATTCCTTTATTGTTACACTTGTCTCCCCAGCCACCCTACCCCCACCCTACCTGCAGTAGGTTTCCAGAGGCAGTAAACTGCTCTGGAGGAGATAGCCCATCCTTCTCCTGCAGAGCAGCTCGTGGATTCAAACCACATACCTTTGGAATTGTAGTGTGGCTTTTTACCACTAGGCCACCACAGCCCACTTACAAACAACCGAGAACAACAAAAAAACCCACAAGAACCAGAAGAACACTACTAAAATATTGCTACAAGGAGAGATAGAGCCCTTAGGTAAAATCACAAAAAAGAGGAACAGCTGCAAACTTCTATTAATAAAAGAAATGTATCTACAACCAGGAGAAGATAAAACAGATGAATGGGACCTTCTAAGAATCAAATCCCTATGCACATCCAAAAACTTCACCAACAGGGTAAAAAGGGAAGCCACCGACTGGGAAAAAGTATTTGGTAATGACATATCAGATAAGGGACTTACATCCAGAATTTATAAAATACTTGAGCACCACAACAAGATAAAGGTAAATAATCCAATAGAAAAAATGGGCACAGGATATGAACAGACACTTCACCGAAGACGACATTCAGATGGCCAACAAGCACATGAAGAAATGTTCAAAATCCCTACCTCTAAGAGAGATGCAAATCAAAACAACTATGAGATATCATCCCACACCAGTAAGAATAGCAAAATTTAACAGAACAGCAAGCAACAAATGCTGGAGAGGGTGTGGAGAAACTGCAACTCTTATTCACTGTTGGTGGGAGTGTAAAACGGTCCAACTACTGTGGAAGGCAAGAATGGTGCTTTCTCAAAAAGTTGCAAATAGAGATTCCATTTGACCCAGCAATTCCACTACTGGGAATATACCCCAAAGAGACCATAATTGATATCCAAGCAGATATATGCACACCCATGTTTACTGCGGCTTTGTTCACAATAGTAAAGAATTGGAAACAACCTAAGTGCCAAGCAACAAATGAATGGATAGAGAAGCTGTGGTATATACTCACACAATGGAATACTATGCTGCACTGAAAAACAAGGAACACATGCAATATTCTTCAAAATGGGTGACTCTGGAGGACATTATGCTGCGTGAAGTATCTCAGTCACAAAAGGACAAATACTGCATGATACCACTGTTGTAAAACAGGACTGATTTCGGGGCCGGGGGGAAAATGAGAAAGATGGGTTCAATAATGTATACTGCACTGAAACAGATGAGGGAGAAAACTGTTTAAAAGGGATATGTGATTAAGTATTTTTGTCATGACAGGAGTCCAGAGAAAA